CACCCCCCCACCCCCCGCCGCATGCCCGTTATCTGTTGTGACCCAACCCGTCGTTGTCACTGCCGCTGCAGCCCGCCCGCACATTACTAGCCATCGTCGTTGCCCTTCGTCCGCCGCCCGCCTCCTGCCCGGCACCACCCGCACAGGTAATGGTTCATGTTAGGCGGAGCAAGGAAGAGGTCTTGTACACAATAGGCAGTGGAGCTTAATATTGAAGTGCCTCGTGGACCAAACCATTTTATAAAAAATATAATTCTCTTTAAAAAAATAAAAAATATGCCACCAAACATATTTTTTATATTTAAAAACATAAATCATAATTATATTTGCCTCGTTTTCAAAAAACAAAAAACAAAAAATAAAAAAAATAAAATAGACTAAAAACAAAAAGTGATCCAAACAGGCTCTAAATGATGTGTCATTAGTCTGATAAGTGCGTAGACATTCCAAAAATAGCGTCTAAAACTAAGACTTACGCAGTCTTCCCATATGCCTTCCCAATTTCACTAGAAACAGTATCACTTAATTTGGTACAAAAGCTAGCCACAAAAGCAAGCCGCCAAAGTTCTGAAAATGCAGATCCACCAACGCTATATATTGATAATAAGGCACATGCACATCCAGCAGCACTGGATCCAAAAACGCTGCCCGGACCTCTTCTTCCCATCCTTTTCTCAGCCACACCAAGAGCTTGTTTTTGTGCAATTTTCAACTTTGTTACTGCTGTTCCCTGAATGTGCTACATTTAATTAGGTAAGAATACATATGTAAGCAAAGCTAAGAGATGAATGCATGAAAAGGAACAAAAATGGAAATGAAACTTCATGGTAACAGAGTTGCAAGAATTTCTGTAGTAAGGAAATAGAAAAAAGTCAAACACCAACTAATTTTGGAAAAATCTATATACGCACCACTCAATTCTTAGGTATATATATATATAGAACACCTACACTTAAATTTTTACGTACATACCACTAACCTAAGCATGAAAAGGTGTTCTGCACCTTTTAAAAGTTAAATGACGCAAAAACCTACCGGGCCTTGATATTTTAGCTGCTACAGTACTACGGGCTGGCCCTTCCCTCCCCTCCTTTCCTATTTCTATCTAATTACAATTCCTTCCGATTCTATTGCTTGCCTTTCTATCCCCTTTCTTATTTCTATTTCTTTCTAATTCCAATTCCTCCTTATTAATTGTCTATCTTTTCTACCACCTTCCACTTCCATCCCAATTTCAAATTATTTCCTATTTCTTTGTTCTAGAAGCCTTTATATTATGTTGTGTTAGCCTAGGGTGTAGAAGGTTTTGATGATTGATGATTTTAGTTGTTGTCGTTAAGGCGTTCTTCCCCTCCGAGGGATGTACCAGACAGCGAGAAGGTGCTCCGGTTGTAATTCATCGGAGGTGGTAACCATCTCTAAGGGTCCGGGTGGTGCTCCGGTTGTAGCTCAACCCAGGTGAGACATTTATCCTTCTGCAGCACTCTCCAGTCCCGCTTCCAGCAACCACAAACCATCTTCTCTATTGTGTCCAGGCCTCCAGCCTCCTTCCAAGAGTCGCAAGCCACCTTCCAACCATCTTCTTGTTGTCGTCCAGGTCTCTGGGCTCTTTCCTACTACAGCCAAGCCCTTCCAGGTCGGTTTATGGTGGCGCCAGCCCCTCCAGGGTTCATTCCTACTGCTGCTCAGCCAACCGGCACATGTTCTTGCGGCTGTCCAGTCCACCTCACCTCATCCAGTTGTTGCCCAGCCTCTGGACACTTTGTCCTACTATTGTCTAGCCCACCACCACCTACTTGCTGTTGTCGAGGGCCACTGCGGCCCCTCTCCAGTCCCCTTCTAACCACCACACATGCCTCTCGGCCCTTGTTGCCAATCAAACCTCCAACCCTCTTCCTGTCTTTGTCCACCATTATCAGCACTGCCACCACTTGCTGACCGTCATCTTCCAGCACTGCCTTCGCTCCATTATGATCCCGTCGGCACTGTCGCTCTCCCCTAGAGAGAGTTTTTCTTATTTTTCAGCGTTATCATTGTCTTTCCCGTTTGCATGTTTGTATTGTTTATGTTGAGGAGACATCGTTGAAACCTGTTTGACATTCAACAATAATATTTATATTCTCATTGTGGTTTGGGTTAACTCTAGTATAATTCGATATCAGAGCAAGCTCAACTCTAGTTTTATCCTAGGGTTCCCAAACATCCGCCCCTACTCAAGCCACCCCCGCCAAAATTTTTCTACCCTAAAAGCTTTGACAAATGAGGTCGAAGCTCCCCTGACCCTCGGAGAGTGAAGCAGGAGCTTACCGGCCAGCGGTACCATAGCTGCTAAAGTATCGCGGTCCAGCCCTTCCCTCCCTTTCTCCTTTCCTATTCAATTTAATTATTTTTCTATTTATATCAAATTCCAATTCTTTCCTATTCTATTACTTGTATTTTCTATCCCATTTCATATTCCTATTTCTTTCCAATTCCTCGATATTTATTGTCTACCTATTCTACCACCTTCCACTTCTACCCCAATTTCAAATTTCTTCCTATTTCTTTGTGCTAAGATTATTTATATTATGTTGTGTTTACCTAGAGTGTGGAAGTTTTTGATGATTGTTGACTTCAATTGCTGCCTTTGAGGCGTTCTTCCCCTCTGGCGGTTGTACCCAATAAGGACAAGGTGCTTCAGATGTAACTCATCTGAGGTGGTGATCGTCTCCAAGGGTCTGTGTGGTGCTCGGATTGTAGTTCGACACGGCGGGAAATTTATCCTCTTGTAGCCCTTTCTGGTCCGGCTTCCAGCAACGATAAACCATATTCACAGTTGTTTTCCAGGCCTCTAGACCCCTTCCAACAACCACAGACCACCTTCCAGCAATCTTCCCGCCATTATTCAGGCCTCCGGGCTCTTTCCTGTTGTCGCCAAGCCCTTCCAAATCCATTCCTGATGCTGCCCAGCCCACTAGCACCTGTTCCTACTGATATTCCGTCCACCCTCACCTCGTTCAGTTGTTGTCCAGCCTCTGGACACCAATTCTTGTTGTCGTCAAGCCCACCACCAGTTGCATACTGCCGTCCAGGGTTACTATAGCCCCTCTTCAGTCCCCTTCCAACCATCACGCAGGCCTCCCGCCCTTCCTTGTTGCCGACCAAACCTCCATCCCTCTTCTTGTCGCTATCCACCAATACCAGCACTGCCACCACTTGCTAGCCATCGTCTTCCAGCACTACCACCGCTCCTTTTCAGTCCTACCGGCACTGCCGCTTTCCCCTAGGGAGGATCGTTTATGTGCTTTGTGTTACTTCCTTTCTTATTTTTGGCAGCGCCATCGTTGTCCTTCCCGTTTGCATGTTTGTATTGTTCATGTTGAGGAGTCTTCGTTGTAACATATTTGAATTTCAGCAATAATATTAGTATCCCCATTGTGGTTTGGGTTAACTCCGGTATAACTAAAATTGTGGTATTTTATGTGATACAAAAAATTTGGGTGGTATAAATGTAAAAAAACCAAGCTCAGGTGTTAGACATGTAAATACATAAGAATTGGGTGGCATGTATGTAAATGCCCCGTAATTTTATCATTACCCTATCCAGTGCTTCCTCAGAGAGATTTCATAGTTCAATCAGATCACATAAAATGCTGCAGAAATTCGAGACAACTATTTTTCTCTACGGGGAAAAAAGTAAAAGAATATAAAAATGCATGAAAAGATTCATCACAAAGTAAAATGACCCTTCCAAAATCTTTTTAATAATAAACCGGGACAGTTACATGAAGTCAAATATGGAGTTTAATTTAATTGAAGAAGAGAACATAAAGTAGGTTTCTTCCAAAGGAGGGGTTTATAAGTGATTGAAATATGATCCAAGATTTTGCTGGATAAAGGTGCATGAAGGAGAACAAACTTTGAAACTCACCTTCATGAATGTGAAAAATGAAATCGCTCGTGAGGAAATAAAACTCATCTTTTTTTTTATATAAAAATAATAAATTAGCAAAAAATTAAAAGGTTGATTGATGCGAGAACTCACCATGAATGCCGCATCCTGCAGTATCGCAATCGCAGGACCCAGCTATTGCGGGATTCTGCCTATCGCGGAATCGATCCCGGGACCCGGCAGAGCGGGATTGAATTCAGTCTCAATAGTTACTTTTCTACACGATTTCCATGATCCCACAAGTGGGACGGCAGGATTTCACCCTATTCCATGCCAAAATAAAGATTTATTGGCTATTTTGTCTTATCGATCCTTAAAGGCTCTTAATTACTTATATTTCTGAATTATAATGAGGTCTATTTATATGTTGTGATTTCTTATTTTTGGGGACTTCTAGTTTTATTTTCGTGTTTTGGAAATTGTATCTTTGATTTCTATCCTAAGAAGTATTATATCATTTTCCTTTTCCAAGTGTAGCTTATTAAGGAATTGGTGATGAACCTCCTCGACATCTATACTGTGTCATATCGTGGGTTTCTCTGTTAGTTTCAGCCAGGATAGCCGACGATCAACACTGAATCGGCAGTCCAACAGCAGCTTTCGCCTTATATCCCTTTCAAACAATGGCCAACTCGCTTTCGTCCACTCGCTATTTCAAAACCATTTAAACCCTTATTCCCCTTCTCAAACACCTTCTAGAAGCCCTAGAATGGTGTCATTTAGAGCCTAACAAACCTTAAATTTATAAGGATTTGTCATTCCTACGCTTAAACCAAAAATCTACATAACTTAAATAATCGATCAAATCAATACCCAATTTGTTTCTACCACAAATAGTAGCACAAACTCTAATTTTTCAATCACCAACTTTCCTACCTCCACCAAAAATCCATCTCGAAACTTGTCACCAAAATTTAAACCCTCGACCAACCATGATTTGCAATCGTACATACTTCAAACTTTGACCAGGAGAAAAAAACATAACGCCGCCTAAGAGAAACACTTAACGAGGTGTCTAAAAATGTACCATGGAAAATATACAACAAGAAATCCTTCAACTAGGGCAAAGACTTGCCACCTTTGAGAGGAAGCAATCCAGAGAGGTCGCCAATATCCAATTCCTATGTATTTACATATCTAACACCTAAACATTACCTTTTACATTTATACCACCCAAATCTTTCATATCACATAATAATACCACTATTTTAATTTTTAAAAATTGAAATGCACCTTTTAATGCATAGATAAGATGGCATAGATGTAAAAATTGAAGTTTAGGTTTTAGATATGTAAATACATAGGAATTAAGTGGCATGTATGTAAATCTTCCAAGTTAATCTATCCAATGTAATCAGAGCTCTAAGGAGCATGAGAAATTTAGTTCATCATCTCCAAAAACTAAGTGGTGTGGCATCAACAGAAAATCGCTTTGAAAGCATTGCAATTCTACCGTAAGATTTTTAAAAAGGAGAACAAACAAAGATTTCTTTCCTTACATTCATCTCCAGAAACAATTTCATATTAGGCCAAACATGGCTCAATCCAGTGAAGTCTATAGAGTAGCAAAAAAAAACTGTTCAAAAGCACACGTCAAATATAAATAGGAGAAAAGAAAGGATAATAACAGAGGCTTGACCGTTACATCATCCCCATTATGCATGAATATTGATTTCAAAGCTAATTCCTCTTCCTATCAATCTTTGGGCAGTAACCAAACCTCAAAAATATTCTTAAGATACCATTAATAATTCTCTTTTTGCTTTAATTTTATTGAGTATAGCTCAATGAAAGCTGAA